AAGGAAATAAAACAATAACTCTTATAATATAAAGATGATTATTATTTATTTATTATTCATAACTTACAACAGCCTGAGCTGCCAATTGAGCAATGAAGACAAGCGAAGGCTCAAATCTTGACATTATAAATGTTTGCATGAGCAACTGGAAATGCTACAAAATAAGAAAATCACATTAATATTTAGCTAAATATGCATACATACTATAAGTACATGTACATGTATTTCGAAACCAAATTAAATTTTTGAGAATATGAACTTCAATTTTACAACATGTACATGAGGCAGCTCAATTTAACTGAAATTACTTAATTAATTTGCTTTTTCATTAAAAATAATACACATACATGTAAAAATCCTATAATAAATTATTATGTTAAATTGTTAATGTTAAATGTACATGTAGTCTAACCTGCTGTAGCTGATCCCAAACTTGTACCATCTGATCTCGTGACAGTCCCTGCTCTTTATTCCCCTCCAGTGATGATGTGGTGGGTTCGGTCTGCATCTCTTGCTCCTCCTCTCTCCTAGTCTCAGTATTAGTATTGTCCTTTAGAGGCGTGGCTTGTAACGCCGACTGACTTAACATAGGAGGGCGGAGACTAAAAATTACAAAAAACAATAAAAAACACAATTAAGAAAATAACTCCAAAAAATTAATATAAAATGACTAATTATCCTAAAATAAATTGAAATCCTCTTTAAATTTTGTCAACTATATGTAGTTTAGATGCATTGACTATAATTTAAAATTTTCAATTTCATCTCTTCTATTTTTAGCAACGTATCTATTTATAGTACACACACAGAGTCCCTACCCTAGAGACTCCAGTAGATAAGCCGAGGTGAGGTCCACTCCACTGTTATTGGTAGTGGTGCTGGTTCTAGTGTTATCCAAATAATTCAATGAGGAGACGATAGGATTAGGATCGGCATTTAAAACACCAATATTCTAAAAATTAAATTTTCATGATATATAATCATAATCTCCCTATCTCTCTCTTTCTCTTCACTATTCCTCCATTACTGGATTGAGTAGCTCTTCTATTAATTCATCTACTTCCTTCTCTATAGAATATAAAAAATGACTATAAAAGTATAAGTTTTGCAAAGAAAAATAATTTAGATAAAATGCAATTTTGCAGAATTAAGTTTCATAAATCCACACTACAAAGACCACATAGCCTTAGTCTAGTGTCTAAATATTTCATTTTAAAATTCATTTTAGTCTCTCTCTCTCTCTCTTTCTTTTCTTACGAGGTATCTTCACTCCTCTGTCTGTCCTAAATTCTTCCTTCTCAAGGTCGTCGTGTTTCTCTGCCCAAAAATTATACTCAGTATCATCTTCTTGATCATCCAATCCTGACATATCAGCAGCTGTGTATAGAAATATCACAATAACTGATTTATCAACACTGATATCAACATTGATATTAACACTGATACTAACATTGATATCAACACTAATCCTAACATTGATATTAACAATGTATTGATTAACACTGATACTAATACTGATATATTACCACTAGTACTAACACTGGTATTGATTAACACTGATATTATTAACACTAATATTAAGGCTGATACTACTAACACTAATATCCTAACACTGATATTATTAAGTAACACTGACATTAACACTCATACTAACACTGATATTAACACTGATATTGACACTGATATATTAACACTAACACTGATATCATTAACAGTCTTACAGCGTGGGTTCATAAGGTCTGCCAGCCATTTCTGCCACTCCAGCTCATCTTCATCAATATCCTGAACTGTCTGTGACTCGTCATCAGAAGGAACATCAGGAGGATTGAAGGAAGCTACGAAATGATCACCATAGTAACAGACCACACCTACAACTACCTTCAATCTCGTTAATATCAGTGTCAACTAGAGGTCGCTTCGATCTGGTCCGTTTAGCAATAATCTCATCATTACTCTGAAAATAATAATAAAAATAATATATTGTAATAGCATAAATAGAATTATATGTAATTAAGTACAACGTATATAAATTTATTCTATCATTAAGAAACTTATTATTATTATTATTATTATTATTATTATTCTTACTAGTTCCGGTGGTCCAGGCTGGTAAGCTTGAATAGGTTGAGTAGACACTGGAGGGTGAATAGGAGGAAGGAGTGGGGCCTGATCCTTCAGGGGGGTGAAGTTAACATCAGAGAGTGAGGCTAAGAGTGTGGCTGCTTGAACTGCTTCATCAGTATCTGATAATGAAAGATTAATATGTAAGGGTGTAAGATTAATAGTTACAAAGTTAATGGTCTATTAATGGTAGATGGATCTAAGAATAATCAATGAGTACCAGTTAGGACTCCTCTGCTACTGGTAACTTGAGTCTCCTGTATCCTTTCTCCTCCTTCTTCTTCCTCTCCCTCCTCCTCCTCCTCTTCTATCTCGGTGTCAATAGGATCACCAGTTTCAGTGTCTGACTCAACTAATATGTCCTGTTATAATAGAATAGAGATGGAGAGTATTAGAAGTACAATGTAAGAGAAAAGAGGGCAAGAAAGAGCATTCAATTTTAAATTCAAACATAATTATTCCTTAATTACACTACATAAAGATGTACATGTACATGCTAAAGTTATGCTAAAAGTTGATAGTTATTTGCACTGTACATGTACATGTACTTCCATGTTACACAGTATAATAACAATGTAGATGTACATGTACATACTTCATTGTTGACAGTGGTGTCTGTATCTGGTAGATAATCATCATCTTCATCTTCAGTGGAGGAGACATCAGGAAACAATTCATCAAGTGCATTAGGAGCTGCTACCTAATGCAATGATAATACATGTAAGTAATGAACATGTATACATGTATGTACATGTACATGTACATGTACATGAGGAATTTTAATACACATGTACATGTACATGTATGTCTATGAAGTACTCTCCTTCCCCCCCCTCTCTCTCTCTTACACTGCTAATTGAGATTGATGGTAGCAAAGGAGTCGAAACTGACAGACTAGACTAGAGTAGAGAGAAAGACCAAACTAAACAGGCATAACAGGTTTAACTAACCAGTTTATCAGGACTAAAGTTAACATCAGTCACTGACGATATCACAGCCTCACGGACACGGGCTCTTGTCAACCTTGGCTCCTAAAAAGAAACCTTTAATACTCTCTCTCTCTCTCCCTCCCTCTCCCTCCCTCTCTCTCTCTCCCTCCCTCCTAATTACATATGGTGGTATATCTAAATCAACATCTTCACTAGAGGAGTCCTCGTTGGCCAGTTTCTTCGCCATAGCAACGACTCTCTTGTCCTTCAGTACATGCTACATGAACAATAAAAGTTTAATATTACTTTAATCACTAAAATAATAATAATAATAATAATAATAGTAATAAAATAATGATAATACTTGACCCCACCCACTAAATTAAAATTATTAATAAACTTTAAAAAAACTAATAATGCTAACAAATCAACTATCAATTGAAGGAGATTCTTACATGAAGAAGACTCTTAACATTGGCCACAGTCATGTTATTCTGAGCCGCTCTTTCCTCCAGTTTAGCATCAATATCTTCCTCCTTTCCCTCCTAAAGAATAAAATACCTCATATATAATATTAACTACTATATGCAGTAGTATTAATAGCTGCTCTTGTATATCTTTTCAGTCTTTACCAAGTTTCTTGAAGAATTTCTTTCCCGCTTATCCTCGGCCATTTTGTAGGTGTGGTCTCGTTGCTAAGATACAGTTGCTTTAAAATGGCCGTAAATCGAAAAATTGAAGCAGGAATCGGTTCGAACTTTCTACACAGCATAAGGACTTTAATATGTACCAAAAATGCAGGGGCGTAGCTGGACCTTGGGTGACGGTAGGGCAAGGAAACAAAATGGCGTGCGAAGCGCGCCGCGATTTTGGCCACACCCTTTTTACGTAACAAAATGGAGGCATTTTCCTGCAAACTGAGCAAAATCAGAGTGAAATTATCATTGTATATAGCTTTAAAAGAGCTGTGGTTATCAGCCATCCCCTTTTGTTATTGTAAGAACAATGAATATAACCTTTTGGGTTATGAATATAATTATAAGGCCACTTTGATGGTAGGGCCCAGGCCCCCTCAGGCCCTACCTCAGCTACGCCCCTGCAAAAATGTAATTAAAATGGTGATTTTGGAGCCATTTAAAAAAAAACCATGTGCTATAGCCTTGGGTATTTTTCAGATTTTTGGCGTTTTCTTAAAATAGCTGTAACTTGAAAAATTGAAGTCGGAATCAGCTCAAAGATGCATGTGTAGAATAGCAAAAATTAATAATACATTTTTAAAATTATTTTATGTACTTGGAGTGCAGTGGAAGCGGAGTCTTATACTGATGTCATTAATTAATATTAAATTTAATTGATATTAATTTGGTAGGACCTAAACTGCAATGGAACCACCATTTTGTGGGTATTTTCAATTTTTACTCTTGAATCTGCTTGAGTCTTGACTCTGATGTAAAATATCATTAATTTCGATATATCGCCCAGCACTACTGATCACAAGATGTCGTTAGAGGACACGTGTTGGGCTGCGTTTCTGTATAGAGATCATAAAGAAGCTGTTCGCTTACTACCATTAGTGGAGGAACCGAATAGCATTACAAGGTATTATAGTCTGCTTCATTTGTCTTCAAGGAATGGCTGGTTAGATGTTACAAAAGATCTCATCACTAAATATCACTGTGACCCACACGAAAAAGATGGTGAAGGTTGGACTTGTCTTCATTTGGCTGCAGAAGGTAATCATGTTGATGTGATGAGATATCTCATTGATGAGTGTCACTGTGATCCAATGGCTATTGACAGGTGGGGGTGGACACCTCTTCACTGTGCTGCTAATTATGGTAAATCTGCAGCTGTTGAATACTTACTATCAACTGGTAAATGTGATCCATTGGCTAAAGATGAGAAGGGGAACACACCAATTACACTAGCTAAGGAGAGAAGTCACACTGATATTCTTTCTGTCTTGAAGAAGTTTGGTGGCATAAAATCATCTCACCCAATTGATTCTTATGTTAACGTCCTCCTTGTGGGTAATCCTGGAGCTGGTAAAAGCACTCTTAGTCATGTCATCAATGACACAGCTACTGGCCCTTTCATTCTTGGTTCCTTTAGAAATGTTGGAGGGGTAGTACCCTGTACTGCTGGCATCATTCCTTATAAACTACAACACAGGACACTGGATAACATCATTCTTCATGATTTTGCTGGTCATTCGGAATACTACTCCAGTCACAGTGCTGTCATTGAGAATCTGTTACAAGGTTCTGGTGGTGTGTTCCTGATAGTAGTCAATATAGTGGAGAAGGAAGCAGTCAAACAACTTCATCAGTGGCTAACAGTTGTGAGAAATGAAGCACAGAAAGCTCTAAATCAATGCCATGTTATTGTAATAGTCAGTCATGTGGATGAGATAAGCAATTCTGTTGAAAAGAAAAGGAGAAAGGAAGAACTACAGGAGATTATTGTAACGGAAAGGTATGATAGTGTCTTCTTAGATTGTCGTAAGCTTGGTGGGAGTGGTATGGATTCCTTCTTTAATAAGTTGTGTAGTGCCTGTGAGTCCATTCGTAGTACAAGTGGAAGGAATTTGAGTCTTTATTGTCACATGATGTATGGTCTACTGGAGGAAAGGAAAGAGAATATACTGACCCTCTCTGATGTAATGTCTGCTGGTAAGGACAATGATGATTACTTCACGCCAGATAAAAGAGAAGACGTTTTGGATGTTCTTGATTCATTGCACTCAATTGGTTTGATCAGTATTCTTAAAAGTGAAGACAAGGTATGGGTTGTTGTGAATAAGGGTATACTACTAACTGAGGTAGATGGGATTCTCTTTGCTCCAGAGACATTCAAAGAACATGTTGACATTGCTAGCAATACTGGTATTGTTAGTGTGTCTAGTCTGACTAGACTCTTCCCTAAATATGATCCTGACATGTTGATTCGTTTTCTAAAGAACATGGAACTCTGTGAAGAAATTAGTCCATCTTTCCTAAGAATGACAAACCTCCATCAGTTTGGAGTGGAAGAGGAGGAGGAGGGAGGGAGAAAAAGAAGAGGAGAAAGGTTGTTGCACTTTCCATGTCTTTTGTCTACTGATAGACCTGATGAGATGACTAGTGAAGTGTTCCAGTTCGGTTGGTGTCTACAGTGTACTAGTAAACATCATTTCTTTCCTCCTCGATACTTCCATGTCTTCTCATTACGTCTTGCTTACAAAATGGCTCTACCTCAAGAAGATGACAAGTTAAATCGTTACTGTACATTTTGGCGGAATGGTCTTCACTGGTTTGATGACAATGGTGTAAGAGTATTAGTAGAGAATGTGGATGAGAGCCAGTGTGTACTAGTAATGATGTCCTGTAAAAAAGGTTACAGTGACAATATAGTGTCTGTAAGAAGAGATGTGATAGGAGAGGTAATGAGTATTTATAAAGAATCCTGTCCCAGTCTAGAGGTAAAAGAGTTAGTTATTGATCCTAAAGAACTAGCCTATCCTGTGAATACACCAAGAGAAAGGACAACTTATGGCATATATAATGTACTGTTGGCGATTAAGAAAAGGAAACCATTTCTTGTGAGTGATAAAGGACAAACAGAATTGAAGGAGATCCTACCTGATGAATCATTATCAGATATTAGTAACCTGTCACTATTAGGAGGACGTGATATTAAGGTAAGAATTAACACACACAAACTGTTTGATACATGTACATTAATACAAGCACTAATAATCAAAAAGTCATATCTTTAAAAGTAATTTTTATTTCTTATTAAATTACTCAGTCTTTGTCATAATTGTGGGTTGTCATTGTGTGGCTTTTCCTACTAATAATAATTATATACTTGTACACCTGTTAAACTCACCTTTCAGCAATACACTACTGATGTATATCACCTTTATGAACAAGCACAGTGACAAATATCAGTTATTATTATTATTATTATTATTGTATAGGAAGTGATTGAAATAACTGAAGAATTCAAGACACCATTGACTCCAATAAAGCTAGGTATGTTATAATATGTACTATCACAATTGTCAAGTAGTGAGAGTGTAAACTGTACTATTAATTATTATTTTTATAGATATTAAAGATCTTGATATTGTCATTGAAGAGCTAACAATACTCAATCATCTACCTTGCCATATATGGCATGATCTTGGTCTTCAGCTAGGACTCTATCAGCCTACACTAGAAGATATCAATGAAGATAATAATGGAGACTCTAAGAAGTGCTTCAGACAGTGTATGTCTGCCTGGTTAAGAGGAGAAGATAAAGTGAGAGAGAAAGGAGGTCCCAGTTGGTCATCATTAGCTACAGCACTGGATAAAGAAGGAAAGCATCACATTGCTACTAACATTAGAGATAAATATTGTCAATAACAAACTGACAGTAACATATCAAGTTTGTATTTTTTCTTAGGCTAGTGTGTGATTTATATTGTTGTCATTTCTGTTATTATTATTGTTCATAATTATTTTGAAATCATAATTTTAAATATTCAAAATATTATTTTTTTCAAAAAATTAAAATAGCAATGAATGTCTAAAGAGAGAAGGAAGAGTTGTTGTTTGTGTCTTTATAAATCTCTTGCTTCTTGAGTATTGCATCACTTGACATTGTAACATGTATGCTAATGTATCTAAATTGTATTTTGCAGGATCCCTCTCATGATCGATGTGGTGATACATTATGCAGTGGTAGTCATGACAACATGGTATTACAGTGGGACCCACATCTACCCGCCTTCCCCACCAGGAGGCTATTAGGCCACGCCCAGGAAGTCTGTGGACTTCGCTGGTCCCCTAATTACCAGCACCTGGCCTCAGGAGGAAACGATAATAAAGTAAGTTTTAAAATCAATTATATTTATTTAATTTTTAATGTATTCTATTTATGTTTCATTAGTTATTCATATCATAGATATTAGAGTAAATGAAGAGGGGAAGAGAGGGAGAGGGAGGAGAAAGGAAAAGAGAGAATCAATCACATTATGTTAGTATTATTATCACATGCTCATGGAGTGTGACTCAATGTACATGTACCGTATAGCGGGAAATTTTGGAGGGAATTAAATTTGGCGAATTTGGCATTTTGATAGCCATTCGCCAAAATTAAACCCGCCATTTTGAGCCATTATACGCATGCTCAATGCACGTGGCCACCAATTCGCCAAATTAAAATCTGCCAATCACCAAAATTTAGCAATTTGCCAAATTTTAGTCCCTCCAAAATTTTCCGCTATACGGTACACTCTAAGCATGTCCTCATTATCAAGTAGACTATTAAAGGATGAATTGAGAGTACATGATGTACATGTACTTATAATAATTAGTTTTTTTTCTCTTTTTCTAATCAGGTAATGTTGATCTAAGACCAAACTAAACAGGTATAACAGGTTTAGCTAACCAGTTTATCAGGACTAAAGTTAACACCAGTCACTGACGATATCACAGCTTCACGGACACGGGCTCTTGTCAACCTTGGCTCCTAAAATAGAAACCATTAATACTCCCTCTCTCTCTCCCTTTCCCTCCCTCCCTCCCTCTCATAATTACATATGGTGGTATATCTAAATCAATATCTTCACTGGAGGAGTCCTCGTTGGCCAGTTTCTTTGCCATAGCAACGACCCTCTTGTCCTTCAGTACATGCTACATGAACAATAAAAATTTAACACTACTTTCACTAAGTTTAATAATGATAATAAAATAATACCTGACCCCACCCACTAAATTAAAATTATATTATTAATAAACGTAAAAAACTAATAATGCTAACGTATCAACTATCAACTGAAGGAGATTCTTACATGAAGAAGACTCTTAACATTGGCCACAGTCATGTTATTCTGAGCCGCTCTTTCCTCCAGTTTAGCATCAATATCTTCCTTCTCTTCTTCCTAACAAATAAAAACACCTCATATATAATATTAGCTACTACATGCAGTAGTAATAATAGCTGCTCTTGTATATCTTTTCAGTCTTTACCAAGTTTCTTGAAGAATTTCTTTCCCGCTTATCCTCGGCCATTTTGTAGGTGTGGTCTCGTTGCTAAGATACAGTTGCTAAGATACCATCTGCAGAAAATGGGTGGAGCTCATTGAAATAATTAAACATGGCGGATTACGATTGTGAGAAGGCAGAGAGGCCTTCAAAAAATGAAGGCAAGGAAGTTCTGAGCGAATTGAGACAATTGAACATAAAGTGAATACACGAATCTACTAGTACCAGTTCATTATTATTATTATTATTTGTTAGGTTGGCAGCACTAGAGAGAGACGATTCACTCAACCAGAAGATACTAAGTGAACATTTTAAAGGAGGGCTGGAGACTGAGAGAGGAAGAGAAAGGAGATCGCAGCAAAATGAGAGTGAGCCTGTACTGTTAGCATAAGAATTAATGAATGATGAATTGTATCTCTAACTCTAAAATTAAACAGCTTTTAGTTCATAACATTATATATATACATATACATATTTTTTAATAATTATAATGCTGGTATGCAGTCATTTATGAATGGAATTAAGTTTTTATTTCAGCTTTTTGCATGTGTCAAATGGTTGAGTTTCAGTATTAGTACATTTGTAATTTTGTCACTACTTTTAGAGCTTGAAATGAAACACAACATTAAGAAAACACGATTGAAAGTTGACAAAGTCAGACACATGCTTCAAGAAAAGGAAACTGAGCAGCTATGTACATGTACATGTAAGTAATGATAATAATAATAATAATAATAATAATAATAATAATAATAATAATAATACCCATCACCATGTGACCTACAGTGTAGCCTCTATATAATGGACACTTTCGGGTCAAGAAGGTATCTCTGTTATACAGAGGTGTCCTTTATGTGGAGGTTGTTTCATACAGTAAGGAATGTAATTGGTACACTAGGTGCCGTCCATTAAATGGAAGTGTACGCTATAGAGAGTGTCCATTATAAAGAGGCTATACTGTATTTGACATTATGGATTCATCATTATTGATCGTTAGGTGTAGAAAGGATGAAGGAGACTCTGGAAGAGATCGAAAGATGCTTTCTCCGTATGAAAGAGAGCCAGAAACGCACGTATGAGCGTACAATTCAACTATTAATGATGCTAATGGTTATGCAACTGTGTCAATTATTATGGCAATTGTATATTTTGTTTGGGTGAGCCTGAGCGAGCTCCACTAAGACTGTAGCATCATTACAGGGTCATCATGTTAATTAACTGATTCAACTATTTAGTCAATTAAAGTTAAAAACTTCATTGAAAGTGGGTGTGGGCACAATGAAATAAAATGGTGGCTACCAGCAAGTCTGAGCCTATTTGCAGCAGATGATCAGCAAGATGATAAGATTAAGCTGCTGTCCAAAGACTTCTTTAGCAGCAAGGAAGGTTGGGAAAGCAGATATACAATCTAGACTAGAGAATGCTGCAAAATGCAAAGTGACAAACTTGCATGCATAGTTAGTTTCTGCATGACTGCATGCAGTTACTGTTTATTCTCTAGACTGAATCTTTAATGCTCTAAGCAATTGCTGCAGAGATTCTTAAGTCATGACTCAGTGATGAAGTGATGGACAAAATTTTCACTTTTGTATTGTATTTGCATGGACATATAAATAATACACTATGGCTTGCTTAGGCTCACCCCTTAAATGTTTTACATTTGTCTAGTTATTACTATCATTTTATTATTATTATTATTAGTATTATTATTATTATAAAAAAGATTGACGTAGCCACATCTGTGCATTAAAGTGCCAGATGGTTATAGAAAGTATTATTTATTATTATTATTTTTTTTAGATATGAGGAGCTATTGAAACAAGAAAGGATCATTTGGCAAGAAGTGATGGCTCATAAGAGACAGATAGACTCATGGACGACTGCCAAAACAGATGAGGGTCATGTGACTAGTGGTCACGTGATTGGAACTGACAAAGAGAATCAGGAAGGATCTAGTCTACCACCAGCAGTGACCGAGTTTCAAGTGAGTGCCAGAAATTATTCAGTGTATTTTTGTATTTCTAATTATTTTTAATTATTTTTTAAAATTACTATAATTATTTTTAATATTATTCAATTTTTTGTAGAATTTCTTATGCTCCAAAGGTGGTCACTCTGGAGGCTGGGAAGAGATTGATAATAAAGTATTTATTAAACTTTGGAATAAGCATAAGGTTATAAGATACATTGTACATACATACATACATGTACATCATATGTAAATTTACTGATTATTTCATATTTGTTTATAACATAAGGAAATTTAGTTCAGTATGGTAATAAAAGTATTGATAGCTTAAATGGCTCTTATTTTCCTCTATAGGCTAATGAAGAATCATTAATTGAAGAAGCAGTTCGTGAAATCCCTTCACAATCAATGGAGAGCATACAGGAACACATCAAGTGGTACAGAGAGTACAATGTATTGCAAGGAGAGAAGAAGAAAGCAATATTGGAATGGAGAGAGGTTTGTATTTCATTTACATGTACATGTATATTATTTAGTTAGTGGGGTTGATAATTTTATGCTTGCAACATGTACATGTGTATTGGGGTTCCTACTCATATTTTGATAGTGTAGTTGAGATTTAGTTAGAAATAGGTGTGGAGAGAGGCAGGATATTTCCTTCATTTTGTGTAGTTAGAGAAAAGGAAGAAGATAGCAGCAGCTAGTGCCTCAGACAAGAAGAAGGAAGAGGAGGAGGAAGGAAGAGAGAAGAGAAGAAAGAGCAAAGACAAACTTCAAGAAAAGGAAAGGCTGGAAAAGAAACTTCAACTTGAGCAATGGAAGGTTAATATGTAACCATGCTAAAGAATGTAGTAGAAATGGAGAACTCTCTTGTTTTTATTTTTGGTGATTAGGCCAAAATCCCTGTAGCCTGACTAGCATAGTACAGGGACTTTTGCCCGATTTTTGAGCAACTTTAAAAGTCTGTAAAAATTCTAAATTTTATCGGAATCAGCTGAAACTTTTTATACAACATAAGACCATGTATATGTATCAGGAAAAATTAAAATTATAAAAATGGATAATTCTCTCCTAGTCATTTTTGGCAAAATTTGGCCAGCGACCCTGTACTATAGTACAGGGACTTTTGCTCGATTTTTGAGCAAATTTAAAAGTCTGTAAAAATTCCAAATTTGATTGGAATCAGCTAAAACTTTTTGCGCAACATAAGTACATGTATATGTATCAGAAAAAATTATAAAAATGGAGAATTCTCTCACAATGTACATATGAATAAATAGTAAATACAAGTTTTCATTGTAATTGTTTCATTGCTGCAGAAAGAGCAAAAGACACAGAAGGAGTTAGCTGCAGCCGAGAGAGAAGAAGCAAGAAGGAAAGAAGAGACATTGAAAGAGAAACAAAAAGAAATTAGACAAGTAGATTAAAACTAATGATGAATAATGTCATTATTCTGTACTTGTAGTCTTATATCAGAAAACAGGCAGAAGAATATGCCAAGAAAAAAGATGAGGAGAAAAAGCAAAAGGAAGAACTGGACAAAGTCGAACAAGAGCATCAAAAAGAAAGGGCCAAAGCAGCAAAGAAGCACATACAACAATTTCAATTAAGAGTGAGAGGAATTTCATCAATTTTAGAGTAAAAAGATTACAAATTTTTCTAAAGGATACAAAGATATTGCAAGCAAAGCAGGAACAGCTAGCAGTTTTAAAAGAAGAGGAAGAGGCAAAGAGAGAGAGACTGGATAAGCTGAGAGGAACGGTGGCTGTCAAAGTTAGCCGTGATCCTTCAAGACTTCTAAAACCAACTAGCGTATGGGAGGAGAGACAAAAAGGAGGAGCAGATAGTCCCACAGTTCCCCTCCTTTCAATTCCTAAAAGGTATAAGAAATGAATTATAGACAATAAGTTATTCTTCGTATGTAGGGCAACACCAACCTGGAGACAAAATTTATAATAGACACTCAAAAACAATAATATCACTTAAAGTAAAGTATAATTATACTTTATTATTACAGTTTAATGTCAAAAATAATATTTATAAAAGAGGCTATAGCTTTCATCATACAGCCCACACTGATTCGTTATTAGCTATCATCTGTGACACATCCTCTTGAGACAAACTTTGTGATAATTTCTCCTCAACTGCTGTCAGTTGCTCTAGGCCCCCTATCTTTCTAGCTTGCTGCTTTCTCTTCTGAGATAACTTTGCTGGAATGATTCCAGCGGGTGAAGACTTTAACTTTTGATGAAGTTTGGAGCTGCTTGGCGGTAATGTACTGGTTTTCTTAAGTGTCTTCTTGTTAGAAGGCTCAGCTGGAAGGAATGAGTTAAAAGACAGAGAATAATAATAATAGTAAATACAGAGAATAATGATAATAGTAAAATACAGTAATTTGTTCGTGCATACATGTACATGTACTATAATAATTAACGATAATAATTACATGTATAATACTCTATCCTGGGAAATTTTAGAGGGAATTAAATTTGGCGTTTTGATAGCCATTCGCCAAACTAAAAATCTGCCATTTTGAGCCATTATGCGCATGCTTAATGGCACGTGGCCACAAATTTGCGAAATTAAAGTTCGTCACTCACCAAAATTTAGTGATTCGCCAAATTTAACTCCCTCCAAAATTTCCCACTATACGGTATAGGTATTATTAAATCATCCCTTACTTACCATCTACTGCTAATGCTTGAAGTCCTGAGCCTGTGGTCTTGCTACGTGTGGTGACCCCTCCTTTCTTTTGAATGACAGGTTCTCTTTTCTCCTCCTCCTCCTCTTCACTGGTGGATACTGAAGATGAAGAATCATCATCATCTACTGGAATTAAATAATTAATAATAATAATAACGCATTACACTGGCGGATCTAGAAGGGTTTCAATTTCAATTAAGTGGGTGTGGCTCATTAATTCTAATTAAAATTTAACCCCAAATTAATTTAATTCTTCGTGGTAGAGTATTCCTGAATCATAAATTTAAATTAAATAAAATGGAGGAAAAGTACAGCAAAAAGACAACTTCTTCTGCCAAAGGTGATTCCATTGCCCCATGGATTCCCTAGATCCTCCACTTCATTAACTAATAATACATTAGGCTGATCACGAATTAATTAATTAATGATCATCATTAAAATAACTCCATCATAATACCTTCTTTAGATACAGTGTTTTGTTTCAGTGTCTGCTGTGTTCCTGTACTTGATGTCTTTGATTTAACAGGAGGAGCCCGTCCTGGAGGATGTGCTGCTGTAGCTGACTTCGTTAGAGCAATGGCTGCCTATAAAAGAGATACAGACCAATATTTCAATTATTTAAAACATGTACATGTACTCATAATCAGGGTTCTGCCTAGAAAAAATTAGAGGTGGTTGGAGACTAATATTGATCCTTTTAAATTTATGTACACCATACTAGTAGACTACAATATCATGCTTTATGTATGGTTATTAGTATTAATTGGATGGTTGGTCTAAGTGATGAACTGGTTGGTTCATTTTTGAGGTGGTTGTCCCGACTACCCCCAACCACAATAGGCAGAACTATGAATGTATGCATTACTATATCATGACACTAACAGTTTTGGTAGGTTTTGTTGCTTTAGTTTCCAGTGGTAGTTTTGCTGCTGGTTCACTACCAGTTTTCCTACTGGTCCCTTTTACTGGAGCTTGCATTGGAATCTCTTCACTCTCATTATTACTATCAGTTTCACTACTGCTATCTGAAGAAAGGAGGAGAAAATAAAAATACAACTCACTTTAATATTATTATTATTATTATTATTATCACAATACCTTCTTTTGCAAACAAATCCTGAGAAGCAGCTTCATTTGTTTCTTTATCTTTCTCCAATTTCTCTCCTCCCTCCTCCTCCTCCTCCTCTTCTTCACTCAAAGACAACCCATTCTCACTAACTACATGTACATGTACGTACCGATAATTACAACCAGTATGACCAGTATTACATACCTGTATTACCACCAGTCTCAACAGTATTTTTAGTTCCAGTATTGGTATTGCTTTTCGTTGGAGGAGTATCATCATTTTCATCACTAGACTCAGATGAGTGCGAACTTTCTTTCTCTCCTTCTTTGCTCTCTTTCTCTCGCTGGCTAGGAGGAGGTGCATTAGGTTTTTGAGCTGCTAATACTTCATTATTAGTAATCGGCTCTTCTTCCATTCCTTTATTCTCTTCCTCTCTCTCGTCATCACTTTCATCACTGCTGGAAGATAAATCGATAGTCACAGAACTAGTCTTTCCTTTAGATTTATTGCCACCAGTACTAGTAGTAGATGGCTTAGTTTTAGTAGATTTATTCTCAGGAGGTGCTACAACAGTTGGTGCTGATACAGTGACTGGCGTCTTTGGAGACTTGGTCGTTTTCTTTGCTCCTTTCTTCTTTAAACTTAAAGAGGACGAACCTTTCTTACTTGATTTTGAATCTTTCTTTTTATGATAATTATCCTCAGTTACTGCTAGTTGCTCAGGAGTAGATACTTCTTTTTCTTTTGAGGGAATACTAGTCTCTTCAGTATCACATGATTCAGTTCCATTACCTCCAGTCTCTTTTACTCCTTTGCTTGCTTCGACAGTCCGTAATGCAATTTCTTCAAAATCTTCATCACTTGATGATGACAATAATTCCCTAACAAAGGATCGAGTTAGAAGGTCTGAGGAAGTAGTTGCTGAATCTTCTTTCTTTGATTTTGATTCTGTTTTCTTTGATGAAGAACTCCCCTCTTTCTTTTTTGATTTCTTGCTACTTTTACTGGCACCACCTCCTTTACTGGAATCAGTAGCTTTGTCTTCTTCCTCGTCTTGAAGATTATTCTCGTCCTTTTTCGTTGAAGACCGTTTCTTCTTTTTCGATTTCGTTGGCGGCTCAGAAGAAGACTCTGCCTTTCTCTTCTTTCCTTTCCCTGAAGAGCTTCCTTTTGCTTCCCCTTCAGCCCCCACTGTTCTTTTCTCTTCCTCCACTGCAACAGGCTTGGCAGTTAATGAGTGTGTCAGTTCATCAGGTCTAGAGTATTCAGGTCTTTTGACACTATATATGTAACTATCTGTCATCCTCACTGATGAATCTGGTATTGCTACAAAAAATAATTATTATAATAATAGGGCTAAGTATGTTATATTGCAATGTTTTGTAAACTTACTCGGGATAAAATTCTGTGGGAATGCTGACTGAGGTCTTGGAAAGTTAAACTAAAGTAATAATAATGGAAATTGATATAACCAATAGCTAGTGTAATTAGTCATGATAATAATAAAGCATTAATGTTATTAGACTTACTGTTGAGGAGGGATGGAGAGAGTATGGTAATTGAGGCGGGGAATTATAAGAATTTTGTGGCATTCTAAATAATTAATAAATGAATGTGTCAGATGATTATCATGTGATACTACTACCTTATTGATAGTGGGTCGGAATGGGAAGTGGTAATGTAGGCTCCATCGTAGAGTACGTCGGATATTCTGTTGTGATTACAAAGTTCGTAATTGTTTAATAAAAATAAACCAATTGAGTCCGGACTGAGACTAGTATCAGGTGGTGACAGAACACTAGAAAAAAGGATAATTTTATTTATTATTATTATTATTATTATTATTATTTATTGGTTATTATTATTAAATTAATATTAACACAAATTAATATTACATTTCATCACATATAATAATAATAATTTATTTATTCATTCATACTAGTACATTAACATTTTTTGCTTACCCTTCTCCATGAAAGCGGCTCTGTAAAGCAGCATGTGACTTTAAAATTTCTTTTTTCAGATCAAGAACACTATCAGTCTCCCTGACAGCAACCTACATGATAAAAGAAGAGTTCCCCTCTCTCTTTCACTCAATAGCATACCACATAGTTCCTTTGGAGATGTGTTACAAATATTTTCCAAAGAGGAGATGACACGTGTTCAGCCATTTTATCAAACCCGCCCCTCAGAGGCAACCACGTTTTACCACGTGGGTTTTAATAACTATACTAGGCGGGGCTAGCCTGCTGAGTCAGCATCTTTACAAAATAAAGATGGCGTCTGCTTCAGGCATTCGAGGAAACCCCTCTGGCAATCCTGGACAGAGTCTTAGACCTACCAGGAGGACCGTGACCTCATCAATAGCCCCTGTTAGAGAAGGTTTGCCCCGTCCTGGTGGTCTTATACTAATGGAGTGCCTTGGGTCTGGATCATATGCCACTGTCTATAAAGCAATGATGAAGGTATGGAATAGTATAAGATATTATTACCATTAAGTGGAGAAAAAGGGTAAAGGGTATAGCTAGTAAAGATTGGAGTATTTTAGCAAAATTTTGACTACATCGGCATACTAAAATTTTTGACAAATTTGGGTCAAATTTCCAGATTTTATTTGATAAAATTTTCTAGCTCTACATTTTGATACAAGTTTTCGTTTTAATTTTTTTAGTCCAATAAGAGGATAGTTGCTGTCAAGTGCATAGAGAGAAAGAGACTAAACTCTGCGTCTGCTGAAAATCTTTTTACCGAAATAAAAGTGATGAAAGGAATCGACCACAAGCACATTGTACGCATGCTGGACTTTGAAGTATGGAAAAAATAATTTTTTAAAAAAGAGAGAAATGGAATAAATAATTCTTTTTCTTTTTTAGTGGAATAGTGAACATATATTTATCATGTTAGACTATTGTGGTGGTGGGGATCTCTCTCATTTCATTAGTTCTCGTAAAACTCTTAAAGAATCTCTTGCGAGGAAATTTCTCAGGCAATTAGGTGAGTGGGCGATAAAGAAATAATTTTAAAGTGGTATTTTATTATGATAGCACTGGCAATGCAGTTTCTAAGGTCAAAGGGTATAGCTCATATGGATCTTAAGCCACAGAACCTCTTACTGACTGAACCTCCTAAGACGATACTTAAAATAGCAGGTATAAGAATAATTAGTATTGTTTTATTAAAGTATATACTGTATATGGCTTTTGGAAGCAACTTTAAAAATTCATAAAAAATCTAATTTTGATTGGAATCAGCTCAAACTTGCTACACAACACAAGAACATGTATATGCATCAGAAAATGTAATAAAAATGGAGAATTCTCACTTTGTCATTTTTGATGAAATTTGGCCAACGACCCTGTACTATAGTACAGGGACTTTGGCCCGATTTTTGAGTAACTTTAAAAATTTGTAAAAAATCCAATTTTGATCGAAATCAGCTCAAACTTTCTACGCAACATAAGTACATGTATATGCATGAGAAAATGTAATAAAAATGAAGAATTCTCACCTTGTCATTTTTGATGAAATTTGGCCAACGACCCTGTACTATAGTACAGGGACTTTGAACCAATTTTTGAAGCATCTTTAAAATTGTGCATGTGTGAATGAATCGTTTTGTGTATTAGATTTTGGGATGGCTCAATTATTAAAAGACAATGATCACGGTGCTTCATTTAGAGGGTCACCATTATACATGGTAAAGTCAGTTACCATAGAATACAAATGATCATTATTTTGTACATTCATCACTTCACAGGCTCCAGAAGTTATGCTTGGTAAGACTTATGATGCAAAAGTTGACCTCTGGTCTATAGGAGTCATTCTATTCGGTAAACATTTAAAATAATTTTTTGATATCCAAAATAAAATTATTTTCAAATAAAATGCCTGATTTATTTTCTATTATAACACTTACCTAGGTTTTAACCAATAAAATTTATTTGTTTTATTTAGAAATTTTGTATGGATTTGCCCCTTATCATTCAAGCACAATAGAAGAGCTTCATTTAAGAGTTCTCAACGACACTCCTATTGTGGTAAAATATTAAACCCCTTTAAAATGATACACATGGTTAAACTTGATTTATTAGATTCCTTCTGTCCCAGAAACTTCCTCAAAATGTAAGGAGGTATTGCGAGGACTTTTGGAGAGAGATCCATGTCAAAGAATCTCTTTTGAAGAGTTCTTTGATCATCCATACATTGACCTTGAGCATATGCCAGGGCCAGAGTGCCTCAGTAAAGCTGTAAGTGAATCATTATTTATACAAGTACATGCAGCACATCAATTTTTATTTTATTTCTATAGAGAGAGCTTGTAAAGCAAGCTGTAGTTAAAGACAGTGATGGAAAGTACAGTTCTGCAGTTAACTATTACTGCCAAGCATTGGACTATTTTGTACCTGCACTAGATTGTAATAAAAATACTAATAATTGATCTTTATTTATAGCTGCTCTTTTTGTATAGATGAAGAAGATCATCGTACTAAAGAAAGCTTAAAAGATATGGTATAGCTCCTGTTTGATATTCTTTATTTGCTAAATTATAAACAGATAGAGCAGTATATTGCTAGAGCTGAGTATTTAAAGTCACTGGTCAGAACACAAAAACCCTCACTGAGAGATACTGCAGGAGAGAATAGGAAGAGAATACTAGGTCAGTCATTTAGAAGTGTGAATATTGAATTTAATCAATATTAATGGAATCTTAATTTTTTATTATGTAGAAGAGATGCAAGCTGAGTTTCCCCAGTTAAAAGATGTTCATTCTCTGATTGAAGAAGCTGATCAGTTGGAGGATAGACATTCGTATCATTCTGCACGTGAGATTTATAAAGAAGCTGTCTCGATACTTTTACCACTGATAGAAAGTAAAAATAACATTGAAAATGCTTATTTCATTATTTTGTAATTTTTATTGTGGTTGGATTCATCTACATATAAATGTAATGTATGTTGAGAAAGTTTAATGACCATTTCTTTATTATTAGAGGCTGATAGTCCTGAAAAGAAGAAATTAATAGCCTCAGAAGTACAGCCAGCAATATAACACAGTTACAGTTACTTCAATTTCCCATTTCAATCTTTTGTAGGTACAGGTATTTCTTTAAAGAGGAGAAGAACTAACTGTTTTATTAGAAGTAAGCAATAGCAATAGCTAGGCTACATGTACGTACAAGTATTTGATTAACAATGCATTTGTACACATCCTGATCACCAAAAGCTGTTTTGTACTAATATAGATAATATATACTGTATAATTCATTGATGTTCATAAATTTGCTGTTGTATTCTTTTAGAAGAAAGTTCCCAGCTATCAAAGGTCATCATCTTCTCCTTCATCTGCCTCTAGTTTGAAATCCACCATCAACGAAAGTGAGTGCTGTATTATGTGCGGATTATTCATGAAATCTTATGCTTCATTAACCATTCTTTAATCGCTTCTCAATTTTTTTCCTGTAGCATGTCATGTCCAGTGACCCAGTGCTTTAAGATCACTGAATTTATAACTTCAAAAACTTCAACTCCATGTAAAGTCAATAATTAAGAAGACAAGTTATTATATTTGTATGTTTATACATCAATTATTGTCTGCTAAAATATTAATAAACTACAACACATCTAACTTCTTGTCCAATAGCTTCTAGCCTTACACTGAAATACTCAGTAGGTTCAGCATAGAGGTCATCAATAATAGCAATTGTGACATTAAGGCCTCCATACACCATGCAACATGTTGCTTGCAACATTTGTGGTTACTTTGATCTTTTGCGCAATTTGTTGCAAAAATAGAACTGATTTCTATTCTAGGCAACATGTTGATTACAAGATCAAAGTAACCACAAATGTTGCTAGCAACATATTGCCTGGTGTATAGCCTATTTAAATTCCATTAAAATATCAGTCATTAGCTACAGATCTCAAACTTCACTTATGAAAAAATGATGACCATGACAACCATCTCTACTTATTTCTACACATGCATAAATAGCATTGGAATTACATGTATTATTTACTTTCTGATGTTTTTAATTTAGTCCACTTGTTAAGGAGTGACATTACTCTCACAAACATGTGTTTATGTTCCAATCAAAATTGGATTTCTTATTAATTTTTAAAGTTGCTTCAAAAGCTATGTACAGTATTTGTAGTGCTTGTCAGCTCATGAAGCTCATGCTGTTTAGCTCACTTAGCATGCTTTGTGGGGAACCCTGTATGGAAGTATATACCCATGGCAAACTAATCCTTTCTATAGCTACCAATAACCTACACAAATTCTAGGAAGACACGTACGCATGCAGTCGTGCATGCACTTTTATAATAAATTAAAATGTTCTTTTAATTTTCATATTTTGTACTTGTACTACTAATCTGTGTTCATGACTCTATGTATACTACTAGTACATACTAAGAATTAATTTTGTTCATTTATGTACCTGTACTAGTGTACATGTATACAATGACTATAATGTTATTATCTTTAGTAAGCTTCCCATGACACTGAAATAGTGGATAAAAAGATTTAAATTAAAAACAAAAAATCAAAGGCAATAGTCTAGTATAACAAAAACAGCAAAAATAGTAACTCTGTTGTTATTACAGTATAAAAGTGCAAACTACAAATTCTAAAAATAACAAACAATGCATAATTATAGTTACTGCTTCTAAATAATAATTAAAAATATAGAAGTATGTGGCAGCAAAAACTACTAAAGATTATGATTAAAACAAATCAACAACTGATTCACGACTAGCACAGCGTCTAACATCAGTAGAACTTGGTACCATAGCTCTCCTTTGTTGATCAACAGTTAGATGTGATTCAGTGACATCTAAAAGAGGATCATCATCTTCATCTTGTTTCTTGAATAACTTCTTAATTAGAGCATCATAACATTTCATATGTGATAACTGCAGGTAAAGATGATAAACAACAATCAAAATAAAACTAAAAATAAAAACAGATAAACAAATATTGTACCAGATCAATACTTTACTCTCATCAGTAAAGGCTACAGATAGACCAACCATGAAACATAAGTTAAACAAGAACCAAACTTCAAGTACATTGTTCATTCTTTTCTTGTAAACTCCACCAAAACAATAACCTAATGATAGCACAATAGCTAACATTGTCAATAGCATTGACAATAGGAAGTGCTGTGACTGAATGAAACTGTCAACTAAAGTAACTGATAATAGTACTGGTATCCTAGCCACTAGCAGTAGACCAGGCCAGAACCGATACTCGTCTTTCATTGGACCACTATAAGCATCAATAATAGGCTTGAAATGATTCCAAAATTTTTTGAAAACTTTGAAATTTGAAAGATACTTCTCATAAAATGGATTAAGGAAAAGGAACAGTGTGTATGGTATGACAAAGAAAATAGACACCAATAGGGCAAATCCAAATAGTCCAGCATGCTTCCCTTTAGCATATTCAACATTAGGATTCTCATACCATAAACTAACTGATCTTACTGACTCATTTGTACAGTGAAGAGTTACCTCACGCTTGTGTAGTACAATAACAATAGTACGTACTAGTTTAGTATATGAGAGAAGGAAGAGTGTAGATAGAACAGGAACAGCATGAGACCCCATCAGTCTTGATATCTTACCATATCTCCCACACAATTGTATAATGATAATGATAATGATCCACAGGTAGAGAGGGAAAGCAAACTGGAGCCATTGTTTAGCATAACTGTCCATACCATTGTAAAAACATATCTCAAACCCAAAGTCTAAGTTAATCCATGATATGACTTGACTCAAGACTGGTAATGCTCCTTTCCTTGAAAAGACTGGCTCGTATAACTTGACAATGTTAGCATAAAACAATAGACCATTGAGTGTACCGACTGATACTGTTAAATTGAGAGCAATGAGTAGAACCACAAGTAGTACACCCATCACTGCAAACAGAGCAGCCCAAGCTATCATCATGTAATTATCATGACAATGTCCACACTTGTTTGATCCCATTAGTAGGCTGTATCCCTCTGTACATGATCCACACATTCTGTGTCCTCTATTATCCACACATTGAGTATCAGTGTGATTGAACTGAAAGGTAACAGGATTAGGAGAACAATAGAGGAGACAGTCCTCATTGATAATGCATGCATTAGGATTGGTTTCATTAGCATTGAAAGGTGTACTGGTATGATATGTTCCAATCCACAGTAGACCATTGTGTGTAATGTGTAGGGTATTTATATCACATGTGACATTCTCTCTTGAAACACTGCAATCACAAACACCTGAACTGTTTACACTGAAACCAATAGGACACTCATTAAGAATAAATGAAGTACCTAATTTAGTTCTGTATAATGTATCAGTAGTGATGACAAGTGTAATGTTGTGTTCTCCATAATGGTTGATATATTTTGGTGTGTACTCAATCAGTGAACAATTATTAATGTATTTGTCTATCACTATTGTTCCATTTATTTCTATTCTTATTCTTCCATCAGTAAGACTATATGTGTTATTATCAGAAGTGCGTCCAAATAAAGCAACATTATATTTCAGTGGTTGACCTATAAAAACACTTTTTTGGTCATCATCATACCATATTGGTGTGGTTTCATTGCTGTCAGGATCACAAAAAGCAAATGCACTTGGATCACTTGATGTTGAAGGATTGGTGCTGTTAAACAAATAAAAGAATTCATAGAAATCTTTATCACATTTATCTAGTGACCCATATATATCAATTCCAGCTACTCTAGCAGTATTATTTTTTAATATAAGAGGGATTGGTGACACTCTATGCTTGTGTGTGAATGCACATGCGGTTTTTTTATCAATATAAATTCCTCCTCCTTTATAAGTTGCATGATTATCAATAAACTCCAAGTTAGCTGATGGTGATAGGGCCACAACAGATGAACCATTTATTGCCATTCCTCCTCCAACTACTCCAGTATTATTCTTAAATACTAATCTATTTTCTACTGTTACTACTGAGGCTATAATCACCAGTCCTGTTGATAGACTATTTGTAACAGTAACATTATTAAGAATGATAGAATGACACCCTACTATCTCATTTCCTTTGTTTCCAACAAGTTCAGTATCTATAACACTGATATAAACTGATGTTGATAAACCTCCGTTAATGGATAAACCATACCGATCATTGTCATGTATTGAACATGACTTAACAGTAATAGCAATATAATGATTACTTAATTGAGAGTAATCTCTATTAATTTGAAAAGATAATCCATTGTTGAGAAATTGGCAGTCTTCAATTACAATAGTCAATCGTGATTCAACACCTTTAATATTGCAATCTTGCAGTGAATCTGTGTAAAACGCAAAGCCAAATCCATCATCTACATGAAGTGTTGATGAATTGGTAATATACAGAGAAAAAAGAGATTCAATTGACAGATTACACTCAACATCAAAATCATACTCGCCATTTGGTGAACTGATGATATTAATATTATTTATAATAACTGATATATCATATGAGGTACCATGTCCCATATATAATATTGTGAAGCTGTCTTTAGTCAGAGTAACATCAGTCAGTGTTAATGAGTAATGGTGTAATTCATTGTAACACACTAGAGGTGGAAAATAGTCAATATTTAGTGAAACACTATCAAGAACTGAAGATGTTATCTTACTATCAAAAACATTGGTGAAACTTAATTGGCTTAGGTCTTTAAAAATAGAACCAGTAATTGTGATGTTACTTGAATACATAAATTGTATCCCACCTTGTTGGAATGATAAGTTACTGAAACTGACATGACTGCTGGTAGTGACTGTTATAGACCTTTGATATGAGTGGTAGTGAATAGTAGGAGACTGATCCAGTCCATGTAGAGTTATATTCTGTACTGAGTCCATTGTAAAATTAAAGTTAACGCTACTAGTTCCAATGAAGTAGAAGATGATGTTATTGTATTGAGACATATTCCCAGCATACACTGATAAAGGATTACAAGGTGACTGAGTAACTGAACTGCAGTCATCAGACACATAATACTGACCAGAGGAGACACTGCAGGAGCTACTGAAGAATAAGAGAACAACCACTAACAGGAGAGACATAGATCTAGCTACTGTCTGTACTGACTGACTAGTGTATACTTGCAAGCTGCGAGTGATGACTTATATAGACTACTTGTTCTCCAAATATGGAAATCTGATGCATAGTTGTGATGATTAGATTCAATCTAATTAATAGTACAATACACTACAAGTCATTCTTTTTAGTTGATAATATCTGAATTTTTAATTTTTTATAGATGGTATTTATAACCGTCTATACTAATCCTTTAATTTATGATTTAACACAATTTTTTGAAAAGAAGATGAGGTAATCCAGAAACACTTGTACTGCAGCTATTGCTTTGTCAGTATCTGTTTATCTCAATCAGTTTCTCTTTTCTTCCAAAGAGTCAAAGTTCAACTCCCAGTACTCATAGTACTGGGATGCTTTATGCTCAATAGAGCTATGGGAGACAATTCTCCCATAGCTCTATGCAGGACTTAGTATGGACACCGATGGTCTCTAAATCCCATAGAGTACTAAAACTGCCTCCACAGTACTTTGAGGGATATAGAGACACTGAGTTTCCTTTGATCTCAAAGTCAACTATACTACAATTAATGCTTAAAGAAAAAGATTATGCCTCAATTACAAATTTACAATAAGGGAGGAGAGAGAGGGAGAGAAGGAGAGTTAGTTAGTGAATGACATTGTGATTGTATCTGCTTTGCTTCATTACAAATGAATGTGGGTGTTTATGTTAACAGGTGGGGATTGCCATGTTTCTTAATTTGTGCATGTACTTGAACAAATCGGAATTCCAGGAAGACATGTACATGATACAAGTGCAGCTGTACTTTGCATAATTAAAATTTTTTTAAGAATTATTATATTTGTACTTGTAGTACAAATCTGTGTTCATGACTTCATGTGCATACTAGGAATTAGTTCATTTATCCATCAGTACAATTTTGACTGTATACTCCAATACCTTGCCACATAAGTGTTACAAGAGTATAGCTAAACAAATTTTGGGTATTTTAGCAAAATTTTGATCACATAAGCATACTAAAATTTTTGGCAAATTTGGGTCAATTTTCAGATTTTATTTGATAAAATTTTTAGCAATGCATTTGAATGCATGTTTTATTTTTTAGTCCAATAAGAGGATAGGTTATATCAAGTGCATAGAGAGAAAGAGGCTGAACTCTGTAGTGGCTGATCTTTTTACCGAAATAAAAGTGATGAAAGGAATTGATCATAAACACATTGTATGCATGCTGGACTTTGAAGTATGGAAATAAAAAATAAAATAAAAATTCCTTTTCTCTTTCTTCAATGGAATAGTGAACATAATTATATTTATCATGTTAGACTATTGTGGTGGTGGGGATCTCTCTCATTTCATTAGTTCCCGTAAAACTCTTAAAGAATCTCTTGCAAGGAAGTTTCTCAGGCAATTAGGTGAGTGGGCGGTAGTAAAATAATTTTAAAGTGATATTTTATAATTTTTATTATTATAGCACTGGCAATGCAGTTTCTAAGGTCAAAGGGTAAAGCTCACATGGACCTTAAACCACAGAACCTCTTACTGACTGAACCTCCTAAGACGATACTTAAAATAGTAAGCATAACAATTAGCATACCATATAGTGGGATTTATTGACAAAGGTTTTATTTTGATGAATTGACAATTTAAAATAAAACTTCAAATTTTATAACCATCAAAAATTTTGTACTTTGTACCACGTGTATACAAAAGCACAAATTTTTTTACTTGTCAAAATAAAACTTGCCAACTGAGGAAATTTACTTCAGTTTTTGTCAAATTTTTTTACTCGTCAATAAATCCGACTACACTGTAGGGTATACTATTATATACAGTACATGTATGCATGTACTGTGCATCATCTTTGGAAGCAACTTAAAAAATTTTTTTTTAATTTCAAATTTGATCAAAATCCACTCAAACTTGATATACAGCATAAGAACATGTATATGTATCAGGAAAAATTATAAACTTAGAAAATTTTCTCCTATACAGTCATTTTGGCAAAACACTCTGTACAGTCACTTGAGCCAAATTTTAAAGTATCTTTAAAATTGTACATGTGTGAATGAATATTTTTGTGTACTAGATTTCAACTAGTACAACTTCAACTCCATGCAAAGCCAATAATTATAGAAGACAAATTATTATATTTCTGTGTTTATACATCAAAAAATTATTATTGTCTGCTAAAATATTAATGAACTGCAGTACTTCAATACACATGTACACTCTTTATTGTCTCACAGTTCTAGTGCATCACTCAATGAAAGAAAATACAATTTTATACAACAAAAAAACTAATGGTAAAATAAACTCACTCAGTAACTAAAGTTTTAGAAATGCACAATAACAAACCAAACATAGTTATTTTGCTGCAATTACAGCAGAGTTTTCGTATTTTGTTTCTTCCTCCAAATTATTATTCATTTCCATGTAAACGTCATCATAGATCTCTTCATCATTATTATATGGAAGCATCGGCAGTGGAATAGACTGATTTTTACTCTCGCGTGGCATACTAGATCTAATTGCAGTTTCATGACTTTTATAATCATTAACTTCATTAAAAATAACTGGTTCATTTGTTGCTGTTGTTGTTGTCATTCTTTGCTGTTTTCTGGTACTTCTTCCACAGAAAAACCCACCCACTGTACCAACGACACCAAGAATGACAAGTATAACATAGCCCATTACACCTCCAACCACTACACTTGAGTTCAACGAGGACTGGTTCGGTTGTGTTGTTGGTAGTATAGCTGCAGAACATGGCAAAGTCTTCTCAACCGTTATTGTTATTTTAGATATTGAAGGGTTTGTATTTCCAATTGTAGCACTAATCAAAGTAGTTTTTGTGTAGACTGTTGATACTCTTGATTGAATTGTAATTGGTTGAGAAAACATACAAACTTGTGAGGATATTGGAGTGGGTGCTATGTAAACACTGGAAGTGAAATAGATCCCACAAGTCATGCAATTGACAGGTGTTGTTGTTGTGGCATAAGAATTATAGATAATTGTGATGATGGATGGTTCTATTGTCAGATTGATGCTTGATTTATCAATAGTAAGTCTCCCTAATAACACAGCATTATTTTGGTTATATACCAGAGGGAAAGGAAGATGAGAGAGATTAAGAGTTGCACTGTAGCTTCCACTGTAATTATAGAAATCAAAGCGAGTGACATTTAAAGCTTCACCTATGATTCAAAGATATATGATTTATGTAAAAAGTGTTTGTCTGTACCTGATAAACTTTCAACTTGCAACTGAACAGTTGATATTTCTCCTGATTGCATTATTCCATGATAGTTGGACATGTCAAGAGTCATTTCTGTACTATCAATAATCAGGGATGAGTTACTAAAACCAATCTGTATATCTGTGTGTGAAAATATTGAATCTGATAAACACTGTGTTATACTTACAATCATTGTCATGTATTCCTACAGTACATTCTGTAATTGGAAAGACTACAACTTCTTTTCCAACAGCCTCTAGTCTCACACTGAAATACTCAATAGGTTCAGCATAGACGTCATCAATAATAGCAATTGTTACATTTTGTAGCGTCTCTCTATATCTAAATGTGACCACTGCACTCATTGACAAATAATCAGCTCCATCTATTATATCAATTATATATATACAGGTAATAGTAATGTTTATTGCATTATTTACCTTCTGCTGTGTCCACTTGTTGGGGAGCAACACTCACTCTCACTGATACTTCTTCCTCAACATCCACCTTTCTTTTCAAATAGATAATGACTTCACCATTTCCTTCTGATGCAATAAATAGCTCTTGAGTGAAACTGACTAATGGATGAGTAACATGTGGATCTATTGGATTGAGACCCATACCACCTGAGAATGCATATCCTCTATAAGGTGGCCATCCATACACTGAAAGAAATAGCCTTCCTGAATTTCTTGAATGGGTGAATTTATGAGTACCAGAAGTTGAGGCAGAAAAGGCATAACCGGCAATTGTTCCATTAGGAAAATTAATTATGGAAGTCCATGAAATAGAGCGGAGAGTATTATCAATTATCAGGTAGTTACTAAAATATTGATCATTTGGTACAAGGATACTCACACCATTTAATGTTGTAAAGAGTGTTGTATACTCTATTGAGTGTAAGTACTGGCTTATTGGAGGAACTGTATTAAGTGTTGGGTCACCATAAGTACCTCCATTAAAGTTTCTACTTGTTCCAACATGCCCCACATATATTGGTCTGTTAGCTACAAGACTGCAGTAAGAAGTGTTAGAAGTATTGAACTGATAGACTTGGCCAGAGGAGAGAGTAGCATTAACTGTAGGACTGGTGTCACATTTCCTTTCAATATTAGTTCCATTCCTGTGGGCAATAATCTTATAGAATTGACCAGTATTCCTATTATGATGAGGAGACAAGAGGAATTCTGTACCCCAAGTGATAGTAGGAGGGACTTGTGTTGCCATAGGATCAGTGCCAATAGTTCCAAGTGGAACCTGAGCAGCAGTGTGACCACTAATAACGGTCAATGGAGCATCTGAAATAGTTTTAGTTCCAGAGATATCAGCATAAGTTTGGTACACTTTTATAGTCTGCCCTGCATGTATGACAAATGTGTTGTTTTCTCCTGCCAGGTATGTCTTATATCCACTGTTTGGTGATTGTGGATTGATTGGCATTGTAATGTTAGCATAGTGACTTGGTACTATGGTGACATTGGTGTTATTCATGCATCCAACAAGGAGAAAGTATCCAGGAAAGTTACTGTAACCATGAGATGAAACTGCATAATATACATATGAATTTGTTGGTTGAGTGTGACACGGAAGCCCAAGAAATGAAAAGTACCCATAAATGTTCTTACTCCATGCAACAACAGATACAGGCTCAGTCTCTAGTGATGTAATATGCAGGCCTAACTTTCGATATGGATAGGAGGATAAGAAGACTTCATAATTCAATGGTATAGCAACAACATCAGGATCTCCTGCAGTGGTTGTACCAGAGTAGCTAAAGCCTTCATCAAGAGACTCAATGCTGTATTGAACTGATGTACTCTTGAGTGTGTGTACTGTTAGTCCGAGGTTTGTTGCTCGATAGAGACTCATTGGAAATGCCAAATAAAATTCACTTCCATAAGATGAGAGGCTGCTAGTGCTAGCTGCAATTGTAGTCAATAAGAACAAGTTGGTACATGCAATTAAAGCTTACTACTGCATTGCTGAAGTAGAATAATCAATAAAAAGAGCATTATTTCCGGAATGACTGCTGATAACTTCATAATTTCAAGGGAATTAATTATCTTGAGCAAATAAACTCATGCTTTTTATGCAAAATTGCAAATTATTAATAGAGGCGTGGTCTACTTTATTAAGATAAAATGGCGGAAGAGTCTTCAAAGAAAGAAGAGAAAAGAATTCTATACGACCTGGACATACCTTACGAGTGGCCAGAAACAGTCCTTATATTAGTAAATATACTTTTAGTAACTGATGCTTATTTCTATATCCATAATTTATGTATTTTAGAATGAAAATGATCATCAGTCCCGGCTACTGACAAGATACTCACTGCAGCTCTCAATGGTAAGCATACATACAGTGCTATACAAAGGTAGAGGGAAAGAAAAATATAATAATGACTTTTGATTAAGCCACAAAAATTCCAGAATGTCCCACTGTATTTATGAATAATATTAACACCATATAGAGGGTAACGTGAGTAAAATTTGGTAAAGTTGCTAAATTTTGAGTCATTGGCCGATTTTAATTTGGCAAATGGCTATCAAAATGCTGATTCACCAAATTTAATTCCCTCCATAATTTTCTGCTATAAATTTTTATATGTACTTATGTTAATTTTTTATGATTTCTCCTTAGCTTGTAGTTGGTTTGCTTTAGCTGTTCTGAAAAGCCCAACAAGGTACAAATAATCAAAGAGCTCTTATAATTCAGTATACTCTAGTATTACTCAGTATACCTCAGTATATTCTTTTGTAGATTATTAGGATTGTCATCACAGCCACCCTCAGTCTTATCTGACCTCTTGAATAGTCGGTTGTCATGGCAACTCGTACTTAGCAGGTGTGTACAATGTACATGTACACATAGGTGGCGGCCGGGTCGGGCCAGGATGGGCCATGCCCGACCAAAAATTTTGACCGGAAATCAGAAACCAATTAATGGCATCATTTTTAGTCATGAAAAATTACCATGGCTAGCAAGAGACAGTCTTTTCTGCTTTCCTTTGTCAACCAGCCTTCCAAGAGGACCAGAATTAGTACTTCACAGACTGTACAGATTAGATAGGGTGCCTTTTGGGCATATTTTTAATAGTATTATATGTATGCGTGCATTGAGTATTTGCCCAAAATACCCCCCAAAGGGAGTGTGGCCAAAATTTACGGTGCGCTTTGCCTGCCATTTTTTGCCCAACTAATCTTATAATTCTACTGCTGCCTGTGCATGTACATGTATAAGTGTTCTTCATGTTTATTGATTTTTAGTGATGGACGTCAGTTAGCAGTGGTACAGGAGTCTGTCATTGAGATAAGGTGCATGTACACGTATAATTCTCTTTTAATGTTGTCTATTAGATCAATATTAGATGATTTTACTACAGCACGTGCTGCAATAAAAGGTAATTGTGTCAACAGGATTTTTGCAGCATTTATTATTGTAATCATGATGTCATTATTAATTAATTTTGATTGATGTTGTACATAACTCATTGGAAGTCCAAATTTTGACTGTAATTTTTTTGTCATGTGACCATGCCAAAGCAAAAACAAATATGGACAAATTCTTGCATAAAAAGACAAAATCTTGTCATTGTTAAGTTGAATTTTTTTACGTTTACAGTAAAAAGAGTAGAGTATAGATAACTATGCTTGGTATACTGCTGTACTGGTAGACATAACTATTATCTGAATGTAATTTTACATTGAAACAAAAACAACTGTCAATCACATACATGTATATGTATCCTTTGACCCAATGTATTAATAGTTTTGTGTAATTTCAGGAAATTTCTATGTAAAATACTATAAAAAGCCCAAGCAAT